TAATATAACTTCATATACATGATCAATTTTTCTTTTTAAATCAAATTCACTTGTAGTTCATTTAAGAACAAAAAAAATTAAAGTTTTGAAAATACTTTTCATCCTCCCCCCCAAACTTTAATTTTTATCAGATTAAACAGTTTAGCATCAAATATATGAAAGTAGGAATGAAAATAAAAAAAACATGCTTACAGGAATTTTTATATCCTAATTATACAAGTATAAAACTAAAAACAGAAGTTAAAATTAATTTTTGATTAATTTTCTATCATTTTCAATTCAATTCAAAATGTAGAAATTCAATAGACTTCTAAGTAGTGGATACAAACATAAAAACACACTAACACACTAATTTTGAATTTAGAAATAAGTTCAATTCTAACTAACTAACACAAAAATCAACACATAACAACAATTACTACCCTAGAATTTTAAAACAAACTACTAACAAAACACAACATCTCAATACAATTAAACAAAATAAAAGTTTCACACATCACTAAGTCCAAACCAATACACAAACATACATGTCTTATGTCTAAAACATAAAAACACATCACATCATATGTCTCAAGTTCAAACATGAAAATAAACAACACATTACAAGTCTCAAGTCCAAAGCACATACTCTAACACATATCACAAACATAAAAATAAATCACTCAATCCTCCTCCTCATCATATTCAGAATCACCGCTATTCCAGACATTTGTAGGCTTATAATCAGGGTATCTATGATATGGAGTAAATTGCACTCCTGGGTTACCCCTAATGAGGTTTTCCAGAGATGAATGAATTTTCTCTTCATAATCACTTTTTTTTTCTATTATACCCATCAATATGATCTGCAAAGCTTTCTAAATTTCTTACCTTATCGGTGGTACAGTTGATATTATCCATCATCATCTATAATAGTTGACTTTGAGTTTTCGAGGACTCATCTCTAGAAGTAGATGGTCTTGAGGTAGATGGTCTAGATGTAGATGCAGCAGGGTAGAAGCAGCAGACTTTGCCATTCCATAGCTCATTGAAAATCCTCCTCTCCAGCAAATTGCCATTCCATAGCTCATTGAAAATCCTCCTTTCCAGCAAAAAATAGAATGCTCTGAGTATGACTTCACATTTACACTAGTAATTGACTTTAAAGGCAACAATACTTCCTCCCAACTATCATATCTCACTCCAACTTGCTCACATAAAGAAAAGATTAAGGGAGGTTTGCATAAAACTCCCAAACTATAGAAATAACTGCCACAACAGAAAAACAGTAGAATCATTCCCACTGTCGGCGAACAATCAAATCTTCAACGTATCCAAATTCACCTGGATTTTTAAAACAACGCTCCTGGATAACCTTTCGTGATTACAGAGCATCACTGTACCTATCTTGAGCCTTCGAACTCACAAATTTGTTCGAATCAAAATGGCCTTTTCCTTTGCTCCTCTTCATTCTTGGTGTCATTCTACAAATTTTCATAAAATTTCACAATAACTTCAAAAAATCAAGTCTAAACTACTAAACTAAACT